CTGCTTGTATGTGTTGATTTTCTGTGTCTGAGGTGGTTGTCAGAGGTAAAATTGACAGTTGTTTTAACTTGACTCTCTTTTCCTGTGCAGCAAAAAGGTGATATCAAATTTTACATAAAGAATGAATTAATATGAAGGAAAAATATTTTAATTCAAACACAACTTTGCATGGAAACATGTCCACATTTCTCATTTTTACAATTCATACAATTTCTGTGGAAATTAGAGGAATTGTATTGGAAAAGGTCTCCCTCCTGAGCTAACCACTTCAGTTGTAGCAGATAAGGTGTTTGACAGAGGTAAAACTGGAATCAAGCTGGACTCCAATCAGTGTCTTTCTTGGGTTCAGATTCAAATTGCATGTGTAGGAGGAGACAAAGAATGGACCTTTTTTTCTTTTCAAAGCAGTATTAATTGGAGAGAATAATCTAGCTTCTTACTGTGTTATAAATGTACCTGTCCATTTCTTAATTACTGTTGTCCTAAGGAACCTTTATTACTGACTGTTCTGCTGATTGAATACATTTGCTGTTAGGGCAATTGGTTACTTGGGGATAAACTAGCCATTTATCAAGAGTATGAGAAGTGTTATGTTGATGAAGCACATCCTTCAATCCAGATGGGAAACTGATATTCCTTAGCAGCCTGAGAAGACAGTTGTAAGAAAAAATAGTTTTGGTGGTGCCATACAGAGGTTTTGAATCTTGAGTGATATGTCAGGAAGAGATCAGGTAAAAAAGTGTCATTCCTTATCACAGGTGCTACCTGTGTAGAGCTCCTCTGTTAGATGTAGATAAGGTCTTGACTATCAGAAAATTCAGTTCTAGGAGGAAGATTTTTGTCCCTGTTAGTAAGGGCAGAAACATATTTGGAAGCTGCAGGTTACAGTCCTCAATCCTAACAAACCTTCTTCTCATGGTTTTAAAAAAAAGCTGTTTAGCAGTGACTTTGGATGTACTTCCCATAGGCCCTCAACTTTAAGGTGACCTTGCAGATGTGATTTTGTGTGTTCAGTTCACAGAAAGAATTCAACAGCAGAGAGCATTACCATCTTCATCCAAACATATTCATTTTTTATGCTGTTCAATACTTGCTATTTCATCCATAACTCCTGCAATTGGAAGCAATTTAATGGATTACAATTGAAAATAATCCACTTCAGGCATCTAATTTTATCAGTTGATCACTTGGTAAATTCTTACTTATCTTTGATTTAGACTTGTCTTTTTCTGTAGTTTGTTGTATGACCATACCCAAAGACACCTCTGTTAAATATGTACTCTCAGCTTTCATGGTTGCATACCACCTGTATGGTTTTCTGTCTTCTGCAGTGCATTGAAGAAGTCTGTTGTGAGCTATATTAGTGCAAAAAGTGTACAAAAAACTACCAAGTTTTAATATTGAAAATCTTATGCTCTTTGCAGTGAACCACAAGCCATGTGCTATATTGAAACAGCTAATCTTGATGGGGAGACGAATCTTAAAATACGACAGGTAAAACAAACTAAATTAAATATTTTTTCTTTTTTCTTTTAGGTATTTAATATTAGAGTTAAGAAGCAGCATCTAGCTTGCATGGCAACAATACAAGTGCCTTTTTTTTGTTTGTCTTTTAAAAAGCATCTTTCTTCAAGTGGCTGTAATTTGTCTTTTCAATAGATACAAACCCAAGCAGTAATGCATCATGTGCAAGTGTAAGAAACTAACTTGCAGCAAGTATTTTAAGCCCACAGAGACAAATCAAACAGACCTTGGATGTGTTCTGCGGAAGCCTAGTTAGTGGAATTTAAGTGCTGTACATAAAAACAAAATCAGCTATGCTTGTGATGAGAGTTGCAGTTTCTTCTGTCACAAGTACTATTTTATGATCATTATGCAGAGGCAGAAGCAGAAAAGGATCTTTCTATGTATAAGTTAATTTGTTATCTCTTTGTGGTAAGCAGAATAATTTATTTGGATCTTTCTAGTTTTGTGAGAGTAGTACTGTTGATTATAGTGTTTAGAAATAGTTAAGAATCTTTGGCTTCTTTTATTAAAAGAAAAAGTATTTAGATTGGGATTTTGAAACTGATAATTTGTTTTCAAAAAGCTACATTTGCTCCTCCTTTACTACATTTGTAGAAATGTGATTTACTGTTCCAGATCAGCCTAGTAAGTCAGATCTTGAGCTCTTGTAAGATTTTATTTGCTTCAGGACATGCTTAAAATGCAAAAATATGGCCTTGCTCTGGCTTGCAGTGCTGCAGTCAAATTCTTGCAAAAGAAACACAAAATGGATTCCTCTTTTAATAGAAGGGCAGTGGAGTGCTGTGCATGTGCTCAGATTTAGAGTACCAACACTTTATGTTGCAGTTGCTTGGCAGGCTGATCACTAACCTTGAGCAGCATCAGCGCATATTGGCTGCAGTGGCCCAAGAGACATTACACTTCAGAATGACCATATTTAGCAGCCACAACACATCAGTACAGCTGTACTTTGAGAAAAAAGCCAGGCCTGTTCATACTGCTTTTCTCTACTTCCTCCTGCACGTATCCAACTGTGTGTTTTGTCTTGGTTAAAGAGAGGTCATGTAGGTAATGTAAATATCTGTGTAGAGAGTTTCAGTCTTGTTGGTAGGTTCATATGTGTCCATAATGAGACTTCCTTGCAGGAAAGAGTTATTGAATATCAAATTAAAAAAGAAAGCCCCAAAACATAAGAGAAACTGACACCAAGAAAGCAACAACAATAAAAAACCCCACCAAAGCAAAACGGGACCCTGACTAACAAAACTCCACAGATTTAATTACATTTTGGTTGGCAGATGTTAAAAGGAAGCACCATTTTCCTAGGTTGCCTTCTAATAAGAGTTTTTGACAAGAATCTCCTTTGACATGTTCTGTGCAGGGTTTGTCTCAAACTGCTAGTCTCCAGTCCAGGGAAGAGTTGATGAAGGTGTCTGGGAGGATAGAATGTGAAGGACCCAACCGCCATCTCTATGACTTCACTGGAAACTTGCGCTTAGATGGTCAAAGGTATTGACAACAAAGCCATGAATTCATTTGGTTCGGAAAAATGTTTCCTCTTTTCTTTTAGCCTGTTACTCTGAGCACATGCATGTTTTTGCTGGGGAAGAGGTAGTAATCAATATTTATTAATCACAGCATCTGCCAATATAAGATAACACAGTTCTTTCTTCTTGTGAAGCCTTCTGCTTGTCATGGGAGTATTGATTTCTTTGTAATTAATGGTGGTATTTTATTGAAAGGTACATGAAAAGAGAAGAACACAAGGAAATGGTTGAGGTTTTTAGGGTGGTCTTGTTACACAAGACACACAGAGGAAATGGAAATCTTTACCTTTCAACAAGAGCCAAGGCTGCACCAAGGTCAGATTTGTAGAGAAAACTGATCCCAGAAGCTGGAGGCTTTGTCAGTGTGACTTTGATGTCTACAACTCTTCAAAGAAAAGTATGTAGTTTTTAGTACTCAAAACCATGGGTTATGAGAGGTTGGTAGGAACATACATGCTTTATTTGGCTGTACCATTTCCCTTCACCAAATGTATATTCCTTGGACAGCTCAGTGCTAGAGTAGCAGATGATCACCTGCATCCCACTTGGAAGTCGTATGTTTAATATGGGCTTTCTCAAATGCTTGTTTAATGGTGCATGTGACATAGTGTGCTTGAAATGGATGGTCTCTTTGCAAGTTCAGTGCATCTCTATCCTTGATGTGAGAGAAGCCAAGGTCAAGTGCAGAATAAGTTTATTTATGGCTGCCATGTAGGTTCTCAAGTTTTGGATAACTGGAGCAGCTTTGCCCTACTTTGCTTTAGCAGGAATTAGACTTACAGAGGTTTCAGTGCTTTCTTCAGTTGTGTGGACAATCTAAGCTCATTATATTGGTATTACATTCTTCTCTTATGGTTTGGGGTTGTTTTTATTATCATCTGGGGAGTAAGGCTGGGAGTAAAACTATCTTCTTTAAAGTGTTACCAAGAACTGAAAGATCCATGAACTTCTTCCTTTGCAGCCCAGTTCCTGTTGGTCCAGACCAGATCTTGCTGAGAGGTGCACAACTAAGAAACACTCAGTGGGTCTTGGGTATTGTTGTGTATACAGGACATGACACCAAACTCATGCAGGTAAAGGTTTTAAGGGGATTAAGGGTATGTTTTGATGGAAGTTGGTCATCTTTTATGTATTCTTGTCATTGACTTGATTTTTTAAAATAGTTTGACTCATAGTTGTTTAAGGTCTGGAGGCCTTGAGGAATACAGGGGTCTGTTGTACTCCAGTTTGGATGTGCACACGTGCAAACACACTGAAGTGAAGGTAGTTCAATGTGTAAGGAGAACTAACTTTCCTCTTAATTTATCTGGGAGCTGGATGACATTTAAAACTGAGGCTTAACAGCTAAGGAAATAGTAATAATCATGGAGATGATTAGATTAAAACAACAGTCCTGTATTGCCTTAATGTCAGGGAGTGCCTGGAGAGACCAGCAGCATGTATGTGTTGAGCACTGCTGCTGACCATCAGTGGGATGGACAGCAGGTGCTCTAATGGGCTCTGAAAGTAAAGACCGGGTTTGCTTCTGCATTTTCCTCTTATAAAAACTATTGCTAGGTTCTTTCTCTTCTTTTTTTCCCTGCTGCTGTTCAGAATTCAACCAAAGCACCTCTGAAGAGATCAAATGTGGAGAAGGTGACCAACATGCAGATCCTGGTTTTGTTCTGTATTCTCCTGGTAATGGCCCTTGTGAGTTCTGTAGGTGCCTTATTATGGAACAGAACACACGGCGAAGTCGTCTGGTACCTTGGCTCCAACAGTGAGTATGCAGGCACTGAGCCAGCAATGTATCAGACTGTAGGGGCAGGCAGGCTCTTACCTTCACTGAATTAATGCATAAAATAAGAAATAAAACCCCCCAAAACTCCACATCTTGCTAGTTTTTGATGACCTAATATTTTCTTTTTTTTTGAGAATAGTCTGACATAAGTGAACTTCCCAGTGAGGCTTCTAAAGTTTAGGTAAATATGACTGGACTAGAACCCAAGGAGCAGGGTGGAAACAGAAGAGAAGGGCAAGAGTTACTCTTGGATATCTGGTGTTCACTTCTTTCATCTCTGTGGAGATACCATACACCGATTTTTTTCTCAGAAGAGGTCATGTACTGCAGCCTTATGTGTGTCTGACTGTATTTGATTGCAGGGTGGGGAGTATCAGTCTGATGCTGACTTCAGCTTTATGCTTATGTACAGATGCAAAGGATTTATCTTTATTTTTTTCAGTTAGAAATGCTGATCGGCTCTTTTAGAGAAAATCGAAATGCTAAATGTCACAATTCTTATTTATTGGGTAAAGTTTCTGTCCTTGGCTTCTGTTACTTTGTTGTGAGAAAACTGATCTCTTAGCATGGTTATTTGAAGGGTTTTATTTGATTTCGTTCTTAGTCCTCAAATTTGTTAGCTCATTATTGAAGATGAACAGTGAAATACTCCCCAGTAGATTTTTGAGGAGGTTGCATTAGCTATAAAATGTGGTGTTAAAAGCATTTTGAGATGCAGATCTTAAAGCAGCTATCACAAACTGCAAATGGCTTGTCTGCTGATGATGCAAAACAGATGGCAAGTGTATCTTCTGCAGTTTAAGAATTGTAGTTGTGGTAGTAATGAAAAAGAATCACATAGCAAGAGCATGGAAATGCCCCATATTTGACTCTGGGCTTTGGTAGTTGTAATGTCTTCTTGCAGCAGTGTCAGCAACTTTCAGAATTTCTTGCCTGCTCCCCCCCTTGTTTTTTATGAGTAAGTTTAAATTTGTGCCTTCCAATGACGGAAGTAATACTGGAAAAGATGAATGGAATGAACTCTTGAACTTGCAATATAAAACAGGTGCAACTTGCAATAGACTAGGATGACATTACAGTCTGTTTAGATGCCTTTTTGTAAATTGAATGCACAACTTCTATACCTTCCGTAACTGCTGCACACAGGAAAAACACTTTTTCAGGTTGGGCAGGTAGATGTTAAATTTTGGTTGAATGTCTCACCTGTGTAAAAATTGTATTGGAAGATCTTCCAATACCATGCATACTTCTGCTTTCTGTCAGCTTATCAAAGATACGGAATTAGGGTGTACTTACACTTTCAGGTGCCTTTGTCCAAACTCTGATCTTTATTAGGATTCGGCAATTTTCTCTGGATTCTCTCTCCTCCTAGTTTGTTCCCCTGACTTCTAATTAACTTCTGATGCTGAAAACCCTTAGTTGTGGACTCTGACCTCGTTGTGCTGAGTGTTCTGTGTGCTGACTGAAGTGCCTCTCTAAGTTTCTAGGGAAGTGGAGAGCATACAAATGTGGAGACTTTGATTGTAAAGAGCTGTGGGCAGCACCTTGAATGGGAGCCTTCATCCTGTGTCTCTGCTGAGCCTTGGACATTGCTGCTGGCTGTCTATAAATGCTTCCCCTTCCCTTCAGGACCAGTTGTGATGGCAGACTTATTTGGGCAAGTTGCCCAGTGTTGTCACCATTGATAACAGCTTCTTTGCTTAAGCAGGGTGCCTCAATTCATATACTAGGCAACTCTTCAACAGTCAACTTGTTCTCATCAATTTCTTTAGTAAGAGTAAATTCTCAATTCTGACAATGATGTCAGATTTTAGAACTAATTTTGGTGTTTATTTTTTTGTTTCCTAGCTCCACTGAGGCAAGTAGGCGCTTCCTGAGAGATGATTATATTACTAGTGACACTGGGGGCTCTTAATTGGGCAGTTGACACACTGGATAAATGTTTAAATTGGGTTATAGTGGGGAATATTGTGCTTCTCACCATCTGTCTGACAAAAATTATTCAGAAAGTGTTCTGTTCTTTTATATATAGCCTCACCAACCTTGCCCTCCTTCACCTGGTATAAAATGCATGGGTTCTGTGGGTGTTTTATCTGTCTTCTATTGAAATCAATATTAAAATGGCCCTTACACTAGGCATCAACACACTAGCTGATTATTTTAGCTTTGCTAAATCTGATTAGGTGAAGTGCATAAAGATGATTGCCTCTGTACCACTCAGATATGTCTGCTAAAGTTATGTGTCTTTTGATCCACAGAAATGCTGTCTGTCAACTTTGGATACAATCTGCTGACGTTTATAATCTTGTACAACAACCTTATTCCAATCAGCCTTCTGGTGACATTGGAAGTTGTCAAGTTTACTCAGGCTCTTTTTATAAATTGGGTAAGTAGCAAGAATGAATGCATCTCAGTTCTGGATGTTGACATTTAAAATAAAAACCCACTTAACATCTTAGCAAGATTTTCTAGTTACTTTTCTGATGCAACTTCTGGGAAAGGAAGGGAGAAACTCAGCATTTATTCTATACCAGTTCTGTGTTTCACAGGAAATGAAAAGATCTAGTCACAGGAAAGTCCTCTGTGCAAATGATGACTTGTATTTTAGGCTTTTAGGATGAGAAGGAAGTGTCAGCTCTTGGTTGAAGGAGGTCTCTCTGCTGACTCACACGTTCATTAATTATCTTTTGAAAACTCTTTGGTATCTTATAGCTTCTCTCAGACACAGCAGAGGGAAAGACTAGACTTGTTTGAAGGTGTGGGGTTTGTTTTTGATTTTTTTTGGAGGGGGGGGTTGGGGTTGTTTTTTGGGTTTTTTTTAACATCCTGAGGCTGGCCTTAAGGTCACCTCTGAAATGGACCATAATGTTTTTGTAAGGAAATAAGCTGATGCTGCCTCCCACAACCAAACAGTGATTACTCTGTTCAGGGAATCTTTGACTTTAAAATGTCTTTCAAGTTCTGTAGTGATGGCTATTAAGCTGGACAAAACCAAGAGGAATACCTTTTGTTGGTATACATTAATCCTTGGATTTAGAGTAATGTAGTAGGTTCCTATAAAACACGTGTAAGTGAAGTTTAATATGTCTGTTCCCTGAGCTGCTTGTAATGTAGTAGAGATGTGTATCAGAAGTTGCTTTGGTTTGTGCAGCTGTTTCTTTGTAATAACAGAAGAAGTTTATTTCATGGAGACACTAAAATTCTGTCATAGATGTAGCTGGAACAACTGATTGTTGTAAATGAACACCTATGTTTAGCATGGCTGATGCATGAACTTCTTTCTGCTGGACTAAGTTTGGGTTTTTTCTGTTACACCTTTAGTTTATTAATGACCTGTAGCTGAATTTGTCTTTTCTCATGCCCATGTAGGATGGAGGTATACTTTGGAAAAGAGGCACACATATTCATCCTGGGATGATGTTTGTCTCAAGCATTCAGAATGCCTGGTGCTAGCATTAAGACAGTCAAGCCAAGTTGAAGCTGACTAAAAGAAGAACAGAGATTTTAATGTTTAATTTTCATAACATAAGTCTTAATTTTGCTCTCATTTTAGGACATTGATATGTATTACCCTGAAACAGATACACCTGCAATGGCCAGAACCTCAAACCTTAATGAGGAACTTGGGCAGGTAAGATAACATTTTCTTAAGTGTCATGAGTGTGGTATATTCTCTCAAGAGTGAAGGTACGAGAGCAAGATGTACAAGATTTGGACAAGATGTATAAATCAACTTTATTTTGTTGCTCTGTGGCTCAGGTTAATGGGATGTTTTTATTTTCTCTAGTCTGAGTCTTACAAGGAGATAATGAGATATCACAGGATTAAATGTAATGTCATATGGGCAGTTTTATGTTTGGGAATTGAAACCATTTCAAATGGTGACTCTCAACTTTATTCTCAAAGGTGTTGGAGAGATGCTCTGTGATTTTGGTTGTCTGTACAGAACAGAATATACAGAGCTAAACTTGGCTGAAGAGCAGGCCAACAGCCTAGACTATTATTAGTTTTTGATGTTTCTGACTAATTCAGAGAAGATACCAATAAAAAAAGACATATAGTTGTATTCCTAATTTAGATATTGTGTTCCTTCAGGCATTTTTATTTTCCTTTCAGATAAAGGTAAATATTATTATATTTATATTAAATATATTAAATTCTAGTTGTTGTGGGTTTGCTTATTCTGCAAATAACATTTCTTCAAATTGGAAGGGCTTCCCGAAACAAGCTTACTGGAAAATATGAGTTTGCTTTTGGAATTTTGTAGTACTGTTGAGAAATGGTAGCTTTTTTCCTTGACCATCAAGGTTATAGGTCTGTAACTGAACTACATAAACTTCATAACTGGCATGAATTTAGTATTGGAGACACCTCTTGTGTATTTAAAATACATAATAATGCCCTGCTCAGGAGGGGGGTATTATGCTTAATATGATCAGCATTTTTCTTATGAATGCTGAAATTTGATTTTTGTTTAAATCACTTTGATGTGATGTTATCAATCTCCAAATTATGGTGCTATTTTTACCTGAAGTAAAGGATGTGTGACATAATGTATGTTGGTGGTCCATATGTTATTTTCAGGAGTGGCTTACTAGTGACTCTGGGTAACTCGACTGATTTTTTTTTTTAATTCTTTAATTGAATTACATGTTCACAGGTGCCCTTGATATTTTTGTTTCATGGTGAAATTATTAATGACTTAAAATTCCTCAGAAGTTGGGGTGCCCACTCTGAGTTCTGGCTTGCAAAGGCTCCCTTTCCAATGCTGTTTTCAGTAGCAGTGTAGTGCATAGCTAAAGGATTACCTTAACAAGTACTGTAGTGCACTGTCTTCAACAGAATGGCAATAATAGAGGAAAAACTGCTTCTAACTCTAGTCAAATTATTTTGGTCTTCAAGTTGTCTAACTCATGTTATCACCATCCCTTCCTACATGTTGCTGTACGAAAGTCTTACCTGGTACAGAGGTACAACTGTGGTATTAACTGGCTATTAGTTTTGGTCTTTTGTGACCACCTTTGAATCTGCTTATGCTCCAAGAGGTCATGCTGCTTTGATGGGGCTGCCTCCAAGTTCTACCTTGAAGTCACTGTTTCCATAAAGGGATTGTTACTTTGGGCAGTGCTGGCTGTGGCGGTGTGTTGCGTACTTCAGGACTGCTCATGACTGGACATCAGAAGAAACAGCTTTTGTATGCCTGCAGAATACCAGTTGGACTTAATCTAGTGTATTCTGTGTTTATTGATAGGGGAAAAAAAAAATCCCCTAACATTACTGATGATTTTGGAAGCAAAAAATGTTTTCAGTGTGTAAAATTCCAGTGATCCTTCAACAATCCTAAGAGTCTTCATTTCCAGCCTCACTATTTGAGATTAGTGCAGTTGAAAGATTTGGTAAATATCCAAGTAGTACAACCAAGTAAATCTCTAGTGACCACACTAGAGCCTTGGCTGTAGATACCTACTGTTTGAGCCCTTCCACATTTAGAGATAAAGAATTAATGCAGTTAAATAATTTGCCTGATTATTTTTCTGTAGATTTGGTAGACAAATCAAGCTGTAATAAGCCTGCATTGGCCAATATTGTGACATTTGAGCAATGTCTCTGAGAATCTTCCTGTTTTCTACTTTGAGTTTTATTACTATGCAAATTGAAAATCAGACTTGTTTTTTCCCTTCCAGGTAAAATACCTGTTTTCTGATAAAACAGGTACTCTAACATGCAATATCATGAACTTTAAGAAATGCAGTATTGCTGGAGTGACATATGGGTAGGTATGACTTTTTAAAAAACTCTGTAGCTTAATGCATGCTTACTTCTGGTACAAAATTTTATACTGGAAAAGAATTAGAACATTCTGTTCTTCAATTTATATTCTAGCATATTTTGTGGTCTTAATTAATAGCTTTAATTTTCCTGTCCTGCAGCACAAATTATAAAAGTCAAACCTGGGAAGCATTTCACATGAAGTAAAGAAAATTGCTTCCTAACTTTCCTGATAATGATTTAAACAAAATCAGAAGTTCTAAATAAGCCCTGGCCTCTCAAGAGGGAAGAAGTTGCAGCCCAAGTGTAGCAATTCTCAGTTATATTTTTGTGACTTGAGAAGAACCAGCATTTTCTTAGAACAGTGTAGTTGTAGTTATAAAGCTTGCACAAGAGGGATACGTATTTACTGGTTTTATTCTGTTCTGTCAAAAGGATCCATTTGAGTCATCTAAGTCTTTGTATTTGCTTCATGTTAAATGGGTAGTCTTAAGATCTCGGTGCAAGTTAACCTTTGAATTTCATGTTAGCTAAATTAGATATCTCAAAAGGCAGAAAATTCGATTCAAATGTATGAACAGCTGAACCCATGGTTCCAGCATATGTTTTTGTAGGATGACTCATTGATCTTCGCCTTCTACCTATTTTTTTTTTGGTTACTAAAGTGGAATAAATGTTCTTTTTTCCTTTTTCTACTCCTCAGTCACTTTCCTGAGTTGGAAAGAGAACGTTCATCAGAAGACTTCAGGTAAATACATTCCAAGATGTTTGCGTTCTGTATAGCAGAGTATATATAGAGTTTATATAGAGTACAGTCTATATAAAGACTGCTTTCCAATTTGGGACTGGAAGAAGCCCAAGGGAGGAATGCGTTTGAGAAAAATGGTCTTCCAGTGGGAGCCTAATGCACAGCTGGTGGGTGGTGATGGATCTACTCTTCTGCCTAGAGATTTCAAATGTGAAGGGGGTGAGGAATAGGGCTGGGGTGGCTGGGATGCTAATGTAGTGCTTATTTATAATTGCAGACAGTCAAGTTAAAAGCTAAAATTAACCTACTTTGCAGGAACCTTACCCCTAGCTAGAGACTGATTGTTGCTCTTTGTAATCACTAAATTCAGGCCTGAAAAGGGACTTCTTTATTAAAATGCTATGTTTTAATAATTAAACTGGGAGAGAGCTTGATATGTAGGCCTATCATGCTCAGAAATTCCTGCTCCTTTTTATTGGGAACTTTAATGAATAGAGATGATGGGTCTGTCCCATGCCACAGAAATGAGTGAAGACCCAGAGGTGTTAAACAGGTATCAGTGAAGCATGTTGAGATTATTGGGAAAGAGGGGAAGAGCCAGGGAGGGCTGACATGGATTTGAATGGCAAATATAGGGAAGAAGTGAATTCCCACCCAAGAAACAGGTAAACACTGAATGCTGTTAGAAAAGCACTTGGTAATGAGCTAAGCTGCGCTTCTCCACTGGTCCAGCTCATTTTGATGATCATGTTTTAGGAAGGTGATAAAGCGATATGTTTCTTCTGCTGAGATGTAATTTCTGTGGATTCCTCCTTTCTTCCAATATATTGCTGTTTCTTTCATTGCTGTGTTTTCTTTCATTGTACCTTTGTTTTCTATTCAGTTCTGTGAAAGGTTTTTTTCCTAGGTACTTACTTGGAGTACTCAGACTTAAAATCCCCCAGGGGTCAGCTTGAAGCAGAATGCTCTGTCTAGGGAGGGAACTTAGGGATATTGAACTTCCATCTATTTTATGAGCAAGCTGCCCTGAAATCCATTTATCTTAAATATGCTTAAAAACTGCTGTTGCTACATCTGTTCCAGGAGCTGCATTGCCACTTGAATCGTCTGAAGTACACTGTCAACCATAACCGTTTTGGTTTTCTTGCTGGTGTTCTTTTTCAGCACTTGCTGCATTACTCATATGATCTTTTCACAATGCTTTCAAGGACACTGAAGTCTTACTGGGATTTTTAAATTTGCTTCCCAAGAAAATAGATGAAGTACTAAGATTGGCAATGTTGCCACTTGTTTGAATATGCTTGTTTTGCTCTGCAGCCAGCTACCTCCTTCCACCAGTGAATCATGTGAATTTGATGACCCAAGACTGCTGCAAAACATTGAAAATGATCATGTAAGTCTGCTCTTTGAATATCACGCCTCTTAAATGCCCTATTCTAGGCTTGTCTGGAATTGAATGCTGAACAAATCTATTTGTGTGATTAAGTCTGTTCTGTGAGTGTGTCATGCAAGCACAGAGGGGATAAATTGGAATCAAAATAGCTCCCTCCAACGCCTTTCTGCCCACTTGTCTTACAATTGAATTAAAGAAGCAATGGCATTGATATGGATTCTAGCTACCTATAAGGCAGCTTCATATATTCTGTTGTATATGGGAGACAATGCTTTGTAAAAGGTTATGATAGAAATTAAAATTCTTTCGAAGAAAAACTACTTGGAGTGTTGAATCATCTACGCCATTTTTAACTGTAATCTGTAGCACTGCAAGGTGATTTTGGAATGAGCCTTAAGTATTGCACGTGTTTGGAATTCTAGTTATGTAAAGGATGTAAGAGATGGGATTTAATTGCAAATTCAAGTTTGGCATGAGCCTTAGTGATTAGTAGTCTTAGCCTAGCTGTTGAGTCCTAAAGGGACCTAGTCTTTAAAGTGTCAGTTCATTGTTTATTTGGAAATCATATGGCTATGAAGTGTCTGACTGGACACCAGACAATTAATTCACTTGCCAAAAAGCATGACCCTTGTTCTCTGCAGGCTGTCTCACAATATGGGGTCTGAGCATTGGCAAGCGCAAACTCAGATCAGCTGATTGCTCTCCTTAGACATTGTGGCTTCTGTAACTGCGCTGGTTAAGTGTAGTATGAGCATCTGAAATATAGTTGCAATATACAGTTCGTGTGGAGGAAAGCTTTGCTTTCTGTTCTGCTGTGCAGTACTTAAGAACTGCAGCATGGTGCAGATGCCATAAGGGAATGATTACTTGGTGTGGCACTGTGTGTTCTGCAGGGTGATGGAGCCTAAAGGTGACGCCTGTGCTCTAACCTCCAGCAAGGTGACCCTCTCAGGACAGTGCCCTGGTTTCCTATCTGGCTTTTGTAATCGTGTACACTGGAAGGATTTCCCACTGGACATGACTTGCAGCCAAGATTTGTGCATTGTCCTGTTCCTTTGTGTCCTGTTTGTTCATTTATGGCTACAGTTATGGCTTATGGCAGTTGCTGGCTCCAGGTATTCATTCTGGTTTAGGAGTAGACTGCAGATAAAATGCCTTTGAGCTCTTTCTGGCTGCTGCTGTTGTAGGTATGCATCGAGAAAGATGCTTTGATATATTTTAATAGACTCTGTAGAAGGGATGTATCTCAAATGAGCTGTAAGATGGAATTTCTCACCCAGTCTTGAGATGGCCCCTTATTTTGGGGTTACCTAATTATTTGATCTTCCCTGGGTAGTTTCTGCTTTGGGGGATAGAAGAATTATATGCTGTCATAGCAGGTGAATGAGGGATTTTGGTAGCTTCCTTAAGTGTCATTTAATCTAGACTAGCTCGGAAGTCTTCTACACTGAACCTTTTTGTATCCAGTTTCCTTTTTGCTGTTCACTTAAGCAGACAAATACTGATGTCATTGTACAGCTGACTGTTGGGCTGAGCATATTGTGTGAGCTCAGCCCTCAGACAGTCAGTGGGGAAATCACTGGTTAATGAGAAATACCTTGTGTAAGGCTGAAGATAACTTTTCAGAGCCTGTCTGTACTGGAGCAATGGGTGCCACCCTCTGGCAAGTGGTGATTTAGCACAGGGCTTGGGAATGCAAGGACTACTTGTGACAGTTTGCTGAGCATGTTCAGGTCTATTTGTCAGGATATGGGTGAGAGGAGGGCTGAGTTCCAGGGTAGTGGTAGAGGGAAGGGTTTTCTAGCTTTGCATTAGGTCAGCTGCTGAGATGCATAAACCGCTTCTTTCTGTCTAAAAATCTGTATTATTAAAATCTATATTATCTTATTTTTTACAGCTGATGGATAGCTGCAGATGCCATTTGCAGATGTCTGTCAACGTAGTGAACTGTGGTGAAAAACTGAAGTGTTCTAGCATAAGCTACCTAGTGAAGTTAGATGGTGCTGTAGTGGGGCAACTAATTTCCTCTAAACATTTGCCCTTTTGCAGCTGAGTCTGTAAGTGTGATCTCTTACAAACTAATTTTTTTTTTTTTTTTTTTTTTTTTTTTTAGTTCAGTCACAAGTGTTAGTTTAAAACTGTCTCAGTGCCAAGTAATTTTCTTTCCAGGTTGAAAATAAAAAATTATGTACTTGTACTCATGAGACTGTCTTCCATCTGCTAGGAAGATTTTTAGCATCCTGCATCACCTCTAAATTTCATAGCTCTTCTGGGCCATTGGTGTGTAAGGGCTGACTGATAGCCAAATCCACTTTTGAACAGCAGTTAAAGAATTATTGTCCTGTAGGAATTGTTCCAGGGAAAAATAACTTGTCTTGAAAACCTGTGGAGGTTTCTCTTGGCTGCTCTGGTATTTTAATGTGGAAGAAAGTATCTAGCTTTGTCTGCCTGTGCTTTTTCTTTGTGTCACCTTCTGTTGGATAAGCTGTGCAGCTGTACCAAGTGTACAATGCTGTCTTGTTTCTATAGAGAACATGGCATAAATTCTTAGTCTAATAAGGAAAGATCTGTTTTCTTCTAAGACTAGAAGGAATGTTTGGTGAATATGGTAGATGGTTTTTATCTTGGTGCTTGCTAGTTGCATATGTGCTGTGAATTAACTGAGCACAGATATGCCAGCCTGTTTGAATGTGGGCTTATGTTTTACACTGATGATAGGAGAGCAGGGAAGGAGGTCAAAGAGTGGAGGAATTAACAGACTTGGTTTTCGTCTTAGACTCCTGTCTAAGAATCCTTCCAGGATTCTCTCTGAACTTCATCTGCGAATTTTGATTTGCATATGAACTTTCTTCTGTCTGTGGCCCCCAAATTATCTCTTGTCTAAGAAGCAGCAAACATGGTATAGCTGCAGTTGCCTGAATTGGTTCAGTGAGTACACATGATGAGTACTTTAGCAGCTGGCCAGGCAGAACAGACAAACTGTTGTGCTCACATTGAACCTTTACTACACTGGAAGTGTTTGTTTAGACCTCACCAACACGTCTGCTTATTCTTGTGTAGTGTGTGGGAACTGAGGCTATTATCCCATCAAGCATTGTTGAAATGACAGCTATCATCAGCTGATTGTTAATTCTATAGGAAAGCAGAACCAGAAAAATGTATCACAGCTAACTGGGATGAAAAACTGGGATTTGAAATACAGTAGGGGGAAAAAACATGTTCAGGTGATGAAAGCCTATGGGAGTCTCTAGTTCAGATTGCTGGAAAACTGTCCAAACACATCATTTTATAGCTCACAATTAAGTTGTTAGAGCTTGGTGAGATATATTTTTCTCTCATCTGCTTTTGTTCTTATTGTGCGTGGGACTTCAGTACTTTTGTTCAAGTACAAGGCAGTATCTTTAATTATAGGTCATGTCTCGTTGGTTTTGGACAAGGTAAACTTGCATTTAACTCTCTTGATATTCAAAAGCTGGTTAATGCCTTCTCTCAGTCTGTGCCTGAAGTATCTTGGTCTCTTCCAGTCCTGCCAGCTTCACTGTTCTGGAGTTGCCCAACATGGCTGGATCTTCACACTGCTCTCCAGATACTTTAGTGAACTAAATGGTAGGAAGTTTATATCTTTTTAAGATGGTGAGTTGTAATTCTCCTTGGTAATTAAGTACTTAAGCATTTTCAGTTTTTCTTGGCAGAATGTGCCACTTACATGCAAGGTAGTAAGATCAGGTTGTTAGACTGTGCTTTAATATCCCACTGGCCATTTCTAGGCCATTTGCTCAAAAAACTGTCAGTCCTGCTCACCTGGAAATACTGTGAATGGAGGCACTGATCTGATGCTGCTACAATTAAAGGAAAGATGGAAGGTATCTTTAACTTCACATTCAAATTCCTTGTAATTGTATCAGGCGCTTAAACAGTTGAGAAAAATAGTCTGTCTTCAGAGTGAAGATTCCAGATAAGGACGTGTGTGACACATCCAGATGGGAAGCTCTGCACGGTGCAGTTTGCTCTCCAAAAGACTGAGGCTTGTCTCAGTGTTTTGTTCCTCTAAATACAGGAACCATGAAGGGATGAAAACTTGTTTTCTGACCAGTGGTCTGCTTGATAATGGAGGGTGCTGTGCCTACTAGATAGCTAAACTTTGCTTTCACTGAGGATAGTTCTTCATAGGTAACAATCCAGCAACTGCTTCCAGAAGTAGGAAACCATAGCAATGTGTGTGTGGTACTCAGCTGGTAGGGGCAGCAAACAAAATAATTCACACAGTGGAATATATTGCTTGTGTAGATGTTTTTACACTAGCTTTTTCATGGATTTTGGGGGAAAAAAACAAACAGGGAAGAAGTTGGCTTTCACCCAGAGTTATTGGCACACAGGGAGAAAAATGAGGGAGGAAGGCACTTAAAATGTGATCTACCTGTGGACTAATGAATAAGAGATCAAACTATGTAATCTTTGTTCCAACTACAGATGAACAGAGAACTAAAACATGGGGTGGGAAGAAATAAATCTGACCTTAGTGCGTGAACAGGCAAGAAACATCTCACAGAGACCATCACTAAGAATTTGACTACTGAGATGTCAGAGACTTGATAGGGGAACTTAAGTAATAAAGCAGAATTGGTTAAGCTGTGGGGCTTCTGTCCTGTGCTAGGATTCAGATCAGCATATTGGAAGGGGTATGTTACCACAAAAGCCATTAACAGATTTTCTGTTCACGGGTCCAAAGCAGGAATTTGAGTGTTCTACCCTGATTCATGTCTGTGCAACAAATATTGTCAGTGCTGCAATAATACAGAAAGGAAACAAATGACAGCTGTGTGGAGGAGCTGTTGTGATAAACTGGGCCTCTGGTGATCTGTTGCAACAGAATTGGAAGATTGCCCTGTAATACATTGTGAGCTGTGAAAATACGAAGACAGCAGCAAATTATGTTGCTGGCTTGAAAACATAGATACATACTTAGGAAGGATTAAAATCCATGTCACTAGTAGAAACAGGTTGTTACCAGCTGATAGAACATATACTATGAAAGCTTGTTAATGGGTTAGGTGATAAAAATGTAAGACAGACATCAAAGGTCTGCAGCAACAGATGCTGAATTAAGAATCTGGCAGGCTGTACCTTTTGACAGGGAGATAAAACTTTGATTACTTTGACTGGAAATGATGGAACAGCAGTAACCTCTTCACTATAATTTGCTGTGGACTTAGTCAGATAGTAGTGTGTAAATATATGTTCATTTTCCTGAGCACAGCCTCTGCACCCCAGCATGTCAAAAGCAACAACTCTTGTTATTGTAGTGGCATGTGACCATAAAATTTGGAAGTTTCAGTATACAAATGTAAAGGTCTTGTATGAAACAGTTACTTTGAAAATATTCATGGCAAAGTACATGAAGTAAAACAAGAATATAGAGTTTGGATCTTCAGTCTTTTTATTATACTACTTTTTGATATGCTTACTTTGTTTACATGCATTGCCACAGTGTTTGCCAGCTGACATGATTTTGTGGCTTTCTTAGCAGTTTAGTTTACTTCCTACTAATTAAACTTTCATACTGCCAGTGCATAAGCTGTGCCAATGAAAGCTTTGGAACCTAGGTGATATTTTTATATGCAGAAATTCTTTGAGAGTTTGCGAAGTCAAGTAGGGCTTTCTGCAAAGGTAGAACTCCTAAGTTCATGTCTGAGTCACGGAGAAAACGGCTGATGTGATGCAAGACAGTGATGCTGCCACCTGGGGATGTTATGGATATAGCAGAGGTGGTGAAGGAGAACCATGTGTTCACTTCAGCTGTTTCAGCCAAGCATCTGAAAGATCTGTGTGAATTGTGGATGAAGTTCGTAGGCCAGGTTGTGAGCTGGGCATCTGAGTGCTCTTCCTGACTGCTATGAGACTATTAATGTTTGCCCGAGGCAGGGATGGGAAGGGAGGGAAGAATATGAGTGACTTAATTATACATCACTAAAGGCTGCAGTTGCCACAGTTGGCTGATGGCCTGTGGTTTAATTGCCAACTTTGCTGAGTTGCTGACCTGGTGTCTATTTAAGCAGTTTGGAGCAGAGGTTTATGTTGCATGTTCTTGTGATGCTGAATGTGTAGGGACAATTTCATACTTGACTGGGTGCTATATTCTTTTGGAAGGATACATGATGTTGCTTTCTACTGGCTGTTCAACTGCTCTCAGCTCTGGATGTTCATCACTAGGGATGCAGTTGCAGCAAGTTTAATTCTGGTGTGGTTGCTGTCAATCTGCTGGAAGCTGCCATTAGTAGTATCTCCTGTTGCTAGATTGTCATCATCTTGTGGCAGATGTCTTTGCCTATATGAATCTTGGGTGCTAAAGAATTAATGCTTTTATGTTTGGGGGGTGGGGGAATATTCAGTCTTCTCAGCTCTCTGCAACTTGAATGAGAATCAATAGCTCTGTAGTTCATCAGCACTGGCCCTGAACAGTGCTGTCTTGGTGTTCTGAGGTCAAAACAACTGCTGTAAAGAGAACTGAATATGTTTTGGGTTTTTTTTTTTAAATCTGTGGTATATAAGAGATCATCTCAGTTTAGTGTTCCTCAGTCTGTGTGCAGTGCTAAACCTCAGTCTCCTGGTGTCCTGTCTAGCCCACAGCTGTGCATATACAGGAGTTCCTCACACTGCTGGCCGTGTGTCATACTGTTGTTCCTGAGAGACAAGGAAATACAATAATCTACCAGGCCTCCTCTCCAGGTTGGTTGTTGCTTTCTTTTTTGGGAGGGAAGGGAATGAGTTGAAGGAGTAGAGGTAAATGGAAGGAAGGTCCATAAACTTCTAGGTTATTTCAAACATCATTGATTTTGAACGCAAAATGTCCCCCACAATGCTAGCAGTAGATCTGGCATCTTCTGTAATCAGTACACAGTTTTTGAATACTTCCTACTAAACCACATAGTCCATGATGTTTCTTTAGAGATAGGCTGGGCTTATGATCCCTTCTGTGCTCATGAGACCATCTACTCTTTCTGCAGGGGTGAAAATAAAAGACTGAGTGTGTAGGAGGTAATAATTTGTTTCTGCACGAGCAATTACTTTATTGGGATGACTACAGACTGTCTTTCTTCATCTAGTATCTCCTTAGAGCAAGATAGGAAGCCATCAAGTGCCAATGCATGACACAATACAACCAAAACTTTCAGAATCTTGGTGATATTCAGGCCTGCCCTTCACCCATTTTTTACTTCTTTCAGTTAGCACAGACAGAGCTAGGTGAGGCCAGATTGGGGAATGTTGCTCTCCATTAAGTTTATCTCTGTTAGTGAAGATCTTTCTAGAATCGCTGTAGGGATTGCATGATGAAGCAGCATCATTTCTTATTTCTGTCTTAATAGAGTGTCTGAAAAGTAGGATGAAGACCTCATGTGAGGAAGTTCTGGTCAGTGTGATGAACCGTGAGGAGAATAAGGGAGCTGTAGAGACATGAGGGTTACTTGAATTAGGCACCAAATCCACTCTTGTGGTGGTTGTGCTCCATGATACTTGCTCCCTAAGGAGGCTCTGTAATTTTCTATGGGATCTGATTGCAGCTCTGTTATTTGAGCTCCTAATAACACTGCCCAGTTCAGTCTCCAGAAAGCAATGCTGTATTTCTGTAGTACCTGAATACAGTGTCTTCACAGCAGAAATTTGATTAAACACATACTGCAGGAATTTAAAAATAACAGAGCTTTGATCTTGTTTCCAGAACAGATATTTCCCCTTTTTCATGTGGAAATGTATGGCACCTCTACAAGAATAGAGTTAAATGTTTTAGTAGTTACAGGATATTTTATGCTGATTGAGTACTAGGTTTGTGTAGTTGATATTGCATGACCTTTGTAGGACTAAAATGTTGAATGTTTTTGTGCAAGGGTGTGCAGAACTACTCTAACATCCCTATGGATGGGAGTACACAGAAAAGGGGATCCTGTTTTGGCAATCTGCCGTATTTAAGTATGGGTTTTGGAGGCCTCTCTAACATACCAGGTTAAATTCAAGCTTTTTTTGTTTATTTGTTTGGTTTTTTTGGCAGATGAAGGAGCATTAGTGAAAGGAGCAAAAAAACTTGGTTATGTCTTCACAGGACGGACTCCCCATTCTGTTATCATTGATGCGGTAAGTGGTGGATGTGCACGGCACAGGCTACCAAGCTCAAGCTGAGCATAAAGGTGTCTTCTCTGGTCCCTGTCAGGGCCCTTCTGGATCCTTTGGGATCCAACATGCGAAGGACTCATGTACACTGAGAAAAGTTGTCTTGATCTATTTGAAGACGCCAAGTCCTTTGCCCCTATATGTGGCATGGGTGATAGGAAGTCGCAAACTTACGTGGGAAATGAGAGCAGTTGTACCTGAAAAGTATTTCCCTTGTCCAGGAAGCACAGATGGGAACACTCATATTAGTAGGAAATTCATGTGTCTGGGAGGTTTTCTGACCAATATGTTTAATGGCTGTTGTTCTTCTAAATGTTTAATTTCTTTCTCCTGAGTAAGATCTTCAGTAGAAGATCTGCTGACAAGCTGTGTATGCAGGGGTGCATAGTTAATGGATTGCAGTTGACACAGGCAGCCTCAGACTCATGGGGCCACATTCAAACTCAAGTTGCAGTCTAAGCTAAAGTGGCTTCAGATTGACACAGATGCAGCTAGTAGGGTGCTTATTAAAAATAATGAATGTGTTTTTGTCCTTCCTCTCAGGTGTATTTCCTTTCAAATTTCTTGTTACACTGCCAAACTAGGCACTTGAAACAGTTCTTGTAGGACTTGTCACAAACCTTTTACAAATTCTCAAACTGCTTCTTAGTTGAAGGGGAAGAGCTTAGGATGGACAGTGTCATCTAGAGCCATCTAAATGCTTCTCTGCAGGAACAGCCAGGCCTATCTGGCCTAGTTGTATACTCATAATACGAAGCTAGGGCATTGTTAATCTATAGCCAGCAGTAAAAGCTGTCACTCCCAGAGATTCCTGTCTCTCCTGGTTGCCTCTATCAATGGCAGCATGTAGAAAATGGTTTTGGAGATATTTTTAATCTTGGGGATGTTGCTGAGTTGATAGATAAATGCTTTGGACGTGTCTGTACTGCAATTAGAATTTACTGCTGCACTTTCTTTAACTGCATGCTACAAATACCAGTGGAGTTCTATAACTGGGAACTTCTACTACTCCTTCTATGCATTATACAACTGGAATGGCAGGTGTTTTAAAATCTTTCTCCTGCTTTGGGTTGTTCCTCCTCAGCCCCAGCAAAGAGTTGCTGGTGATAACAGGAATTTCTCCTCAATTAATCTTTTTTTTTGGCCACGAAAAATATAATTAATATTTTTGTGAATTCAAATGAAAGAAATACTAAGGGAGGTCAATCAAAGATTATTGTAATAATAAACCTGGAGGGCTTATTTTGGAAAAATGCCTACAGCCTGTAATATGTCTCTTAGTTGGTGGCTGTTGAGAACTAAATATGCAACTTAGCTTTCAGAGCATGCCTAATCAGAAAGGATATTAACTTCTTCTAAAGGTGTAGCAGTAGTAAATGAAGGATGCCACAGTACAGGATGTTGAATTAAGTTCATTAGATCGGGCTCTGCATCCTTCAACCAGTGGAGGGAGCCATTGCCACGTTTATTTGCATTTATGACTCTGGGATCTGTGACAGACACCTGATGAGCTCGCGTGTTTGCACGTCTAAGAATATAGTGTAGGTTGTATTTATAATATTTATTTATTATTAATAGTAACTATTAATAGTAACCCTTTATTTTTTTTGGTTTTTTGGTTTTTTTTTTAGCTGGGGAAAGAGAAAACCTTTGAAATTCTTAATGTGCTGGAGTTTTCCAGGTAAGTTTTCCTCTAATACATGAAATTCAGGGTAATAAGAAAACTCTTCTTACAAACAATGTTATTTAGAGTAAAAAATTACAACTTATATAGTAAAGAAGCAGAACTTTCTTAATTTTTGTCCTGCCCCTTCATCTTGTTTCTGATGTACTATGAATGAGTTATAAACCGGTGGCTGTTGGCATGTGATCATAAAACTTTCTCCTGCAGCTCTGTTCATTTATTGAGAACTTGCTGGCCTGGAAGCATCTTGCTGTGACTCATGGATATCCTGATTTGTCACTTGTCTACTTCAAGAACATGCTTTGAAATTGCACTTCTATAGTGCTTCTGCAAATTACTTTTTGAGTACATGGAAACTGCACCTGGAAGTACCTCATCTTAAGAACCATGCCAGCTATGAAAATATAGACATTGCAAGCACTCCTAATTTGTCAGACTCATTAGGATGGGCCTTGCTTGGGTAGCAAGAAGCTTTGATGAATCAGGCCCCTAAATGACTGGAAATAACAAGGTGCTTTCTCTTTGTCAGTTGATAAAGTTATTTCAGTTTGGATGGCGCTAGTCAGCATTCCTCTTTTTCTCTTGTTTATTTTCTGTTCTTGCTGGGGATTAAAACCTTGAGCTCTTGTTCCCTGCTGTCTTTGAGTTGGCTTGTTGTGTTCTAAAGGACTATATAAAACTAAAGGTAGGGATGATTTTCTTGTGTCCTGACTTACTTTGAAGAATATTCTTGAGTTCTTCCCTCTTTCCATTCAGAATGCAGCTATTTAAGCTACTTGTGGGAAGTACCTGAAAAGGCACTGGAAGAGTCCTTGAGGGTTTGTGACAAGTTGACCAGCACTCTGGTGTCTGTAGGCAGGAATAACCACAGCTTGCATGCAGCAGAAAAAAGCTGTCTTAGTTCTCCTCTGTGCAGCACCTTCCTACCTGACCACTGAGGGAGTTCCTATAATTAGTTTTCAAAAAGCACACAGAAGTTTCCCAGTGTTGTTAGGATGTTGCTGAAATTCTGGGCACAGGTAACTGCTGTCCTTCTAACCCCTCTTCAGAAAGCCTCAGAGAGGATTTGTTTTGTCTGATAATACATGCCAAGAGCTTACTTTAGGGTACATGAGAAGTTACTACATTTCTCAAAGCCAACCTCAAGAGGAGAAGGAAGGTTGCTCTACACTCTGTACATGTTGGGAAAAACATAATGAGGAAGGAGGGTGCTTCCAAGTTGGTCCTTTTGCTGAGGAAAAGATTTATATGAAACCACATGTTCTTAGGGTTCCCTTGATGAGATTTGATTTGTTTGCCTCTGCCTCTTGGTAGCTGTGGGATTTTTACAGTGGCTCTTTTGGAGGAGAGATTGATAAGTAAAACATCAAAACTTCTTTAAAAAAATTGTCCTTGCCTGCCTTCCTTTGTTAAATGTTGGTGTACACTATGCTACTCTTTACATTTTTTTTTTAAGATATGTGCCAAAGTTGAGGTCCTGTCCTTGTGCAGGGGATCTGACTTCTGCTTAATTCCAACTGCGTGGATCTGATTAGACCAATATAAAGAATTCATAGAGGCCACAAACTGGTCTGTATGAGGATTCCTTTTGATGATGTTTTTACTTTCTTTTGAGTTAGGAAGTTAAATAACTTCCCTTGTCAGTGGATGGTTTTTTCAATATCTCTTATGTCTATAATAAAGATATAATCAGCCTTAATGATTCCATTTCTAGAGTCCCCAAAGCAATTTTGATTGAGGAATAAGGAAAAACTGAGAGAGAATAATGAGAATAAGTGTGACTCCCCTTCTTTCAAGACAATTTTATACAATCTTGCTCTTTTTCAAATTCTTGCTCGCATTTGGGCATAAGTCTGGAGTGCTTGCCAATGGGAGACATGAGGCTGAAGCTGGAAATAGGCAATTTAATATATCTCCTTGTGGTCAAGGGTTATGGGATCTTAAGTTACTGCTGTTATATCCCGTTTAATCTCAGATGCACGAAACACATCTGAGAAAATTCACTGGTTAGAACAGGAATTACTCTTCACCACTTTGACTAATGAAAGCAAATATTTTTCTTTCAATAGCAACAGGAAGAGAATGTCAGTGATTGTTCGAACTCCGGCAGGACAGCTACGTCTCTACTGCAAAGGGGCTGTAAGTAATTATGCGGCCTAATGGAGAACACTGCCAGTTATTGTTTCAACAGCTGTGGCTGATGCTGACATTTCATGTCTCATACATAATACCTGTTGGCTTTCTGTTTAGGGCTAAGTGATTTAAGAGAGCTGTCATTCCTGCTCTTGACTCCTTTTGCAGGCTGGAAGACTGCTATGCTTTGTACTGCCCAGCTGAAATCCTGAAACTAATGGGAGCAGTACCCTTACTTCAGCAAAGTCAGGGCTTCACCCAGCTGTGCAGCAGGAGTTCAGGAGCTGGAGTAAATGCTGTTGTCTGAATTTATAACACTAAAATTTATTCTAAAGTGCTTGGCTCTTGATCTGGCTTTTTTGCATCTCTGCACCTGCTGTTATTTGTCATCATGACTTGCACCATGTTGTGCTTCTGTCTTCACTGACAAGAGCAATAACTTAGCAACAGTACAAAGGCTCCAAAATTAGCATTGTCAACAGCCAGAGAGTGGTTCTAATTTCAGTGGAAAACTATGGAGCTGGCTTTTTGCAGCAGGGAAAAACTCCTTCTGACCTCTGTGAGGATCTGGTTTACTTGAATTTGTCATGACGTATAGGTCAGTGTTCGCTACTCCATTGCTTCCATTTACCTCCCCTGATTTGATAAAGATGTGCTGGCTTCATGCTGGCGTGGTGAAGTGAATTAAGTCTGCCGCCATTGTGTGGTAGTTCACAGTTGTATGCCTAATAGGACCACACAGACTTGCAACTTGCTTGTTCATGCCGTGCCTGAGTTCACACCGTTCTTTGGAGTGTGGCACTGGAGGGGACAGAGATCAGGAGGGTTTGCTGTACAAAATCTCTTGCTGTCTTCTGTATGAGCAGACCTAGATGTACTAATGTGCTGCATCTGCCACTCGTGAACTTTAAGTTAACTGACTATTCTGCATTAACACTTCCATGTTCTGGTAGTTATCCTCTGTCCTGTTGCTTCCATAATAATTAGGTTTGTGTGCCTTTCTCTAATGAATGCTAGATGTAGGTCTGTTTATTTAGCTTAAGAGCAGATGTCTGAGTAGGGTTTCTGTATTACATGTGTTTGTAGAACTTGTTCTGATAGTTATAAATAAAATCCAGAGACTCTAGATATGTAGATGATGCTATATGTTGATTTCAGCTGTTAGTTAGGCTTTTTCAATGGTTCTTTGATTTACTGATAAAGAAACCTGCTGCAGGAAGAAGGTTGTTTCTGAGAGAATGTTGTGGTGGAAAATGATCAATGTTTCTGCCTTTTGTTTTTTAACATCAACGGGAATCTTTTCTAGAAAGGATTGCAGGAAACTCTACTGCATGGGACTGCAATATATGCTGAATAAGACCAGACATTTGTGTTGTCTGAAAGTCAATATATTGGCTTGGTAATTTATGGAGAAGTGCTCTGTACTGCCCAGTGATGAGGACCTCTTTATGGAAAGAGGGGAAGAGGACAGAGTGTGCTTCTGTTCTGTGTTCTGTTATTATTTAAAATGGATGCAGTATCTATGCCACTGGGTACAATCCAAATTAATTACTTAATCAGAGTCTTTAAACCCCAAGTATATTGTAAATACAGTTTTGTTTTTGATATTAGCAAGTCCATTCAGGTTGCTTCTCTAGAGCTTGTAAATACACAAATGGAAACTTTATATATAGACTTACTCTGTTGTAATGAATTTGGTTTTAATAGGATAATGTAATTTTTGAGAGGCTTTCAAAAGATTCCCAGTATATGGAACAAACACTGTGCCATCTTGAATACTTCGCAACGGAAGGTAAGAAAAACAGCATGCCATGAGAATTCAGTTTATGAAATTATTTGCAGCATCTCCTGCGTTGTCTAAGCTCTGTGGTGTCAACTAAGATGATGATGATTGTGAAGATAAATGAAGATGGGGTGTGTTATCAGCAAATTAACAACTGTAGGTTGATTTCAACTGTAAGGAGGATTTTTTCTGACTTCTGTGTGATTTCAGTAGGGAAGTGGAATTTGGAAGGAAAAGACAGTGTTCTGTATCTCCATGATGAAGGGAAAGGGCATGAGTTCTATTGCCCAGAACAACTTGGTTACTTTGGAGTTGGAGGTGTTTTTACCAGGTGTAGAAGTCGGATGCCAGTGTCTCTGGCTTTACGAAGCAGAGTGTCAACCTGAACATGCTGGGAGGTCTGGTAGATGAGACATCAAAGATGATTTGAGGTGGTCTGTGAGGCCTTTGACTGACTCTGTTCACTGGGAAGCACTGGGCTTTGTTCCTTCTTCTGCTATAGCATAGGATACCTGAGTTACAGTAAAACCATGAACAAGTGTTTTTCTTTCAAAATCTTAAAACATCATTGAGCTTTTAAATTTTTTTTGTTTTGCAGACTTCATGTTCCCAGTAATGGAAATTTTGTGTTTTATGATACACATTCCTTTTCTGCTTGATTCGTGATAGAAAAAAAAATCACAACTTCTGTGTTAATTTTTGTCAGTGGTCCAATAAATTGGTTTTTATACTTCATGGACCCTCTCCACTATATTAACTCTCATTATTGCTGTGAGTTACATCGGTACACTGAGGGAAAACACAGGCTCAAAGGAAGCCTGTGCAGGGTGTTTGACTAAGTAATTTCACAAATCACAGTATGTAGCCTGTTCTGTTTAAAAATACATAAAAAGCAAGCTTGCTTCTATACTTAATAAAAAGGTTTTGTCCAATGCTCTCTTGATTTGCACCATTAGTGGCCAAAATGAATCAGATTTACATTTACATTTGTGGAAGTCCAAGTGCTTAAGAAAATGTACAGGGAGATTTTGTGGAATCCAGAGTTTAACAGTGTGTGTTAGAAGCTTTTGTTGTTCCAGCATGAGGGTTAGAATTTAGCATTTGTTGCATATGAATTATTTGATAATACTCAATGTAATTTTACTGTGGGTAATGGCTGTCTTCTGTTTTTGCAGGTCTGAGGACGTTGTGCATTGCTTATGCTGATCTGTCAGAGAAGTCTTACAGAGAGTGGTTGAATGTCTACAATGAATCCAGTACGGTTCTGAAAGACAGAACTCAGAAGCTAGAGGAGTGCTATGAGATCATTGAAAAGGTAAAACATACTTTTTTGATGATCTGATAAAGATTCCCTTATATGTGTATTTTCCAGTGGAATTTGGACTTTATACAATGAAATAAACTGTTAATTTCATAGATGGGAAACTGAAAAGGTGTTCTTAGATGGTAACCTTTTCAGTCAACAGTTTTAATCTGTAAATGTGAGATCAATTTACAGATAAAAGAGTAGTTTCTACTTAAAACACCTTTTCTCACACTTCTTTTACCTTCGTGTTTTTATGTAAGGTTGCTATGACTTGATAAAGATAATATATGTAAATTACTGTGTTGCACGAAGTTCCCATGTACTAGGGTATGAAGTGATTAATTCCTTTTCATGCAGCAGTCAACTCTTACTGAAGGTTGTTGTAGGCATGGTGTAGGGGTCACCAAAAGCTGTAGGAGCACGGGTTAAAAAAAAGATGAAAACCTGCACTCCATGCAAATTCTTAATTTCAGAAGGGGAAAATAGGTGCCAGAGAACCTATTTGAAACGCTGATCCTACAGTGAATGAAATGTTAAAATATCAGCGCTAGGGGCCAGTGTTTCTCTGAGCCTTGTTGGTCTTGCTGCTTTTGGAAGTGCTGGTAGTTGCACTCCTCACCTGCACAGATTCATGCTCTTCCCTCTTACCACAGGTATTTAATTTCATTTAGTGGTTTCTTTAAAGCATGTTTTGAACTTCAATATATATTTTTAATTAATATTAAAATACTGCTTAGGTTCTGGAGCACTGTTGTTTATTGAAGTTACTTGGGGTAAATCATAGATTTATAGAATGGCCTGGTTTGGAAGGGACAGTAAAGATCCAATCCTCCATGTCCCATGGCCAGAGACACCTTTCACTAGGCCAGGTTGCTAGAGCTTCATCCAACCTGGCCTTGATGACTTCCAGGGATGAGGCATCCACAAAGAGGTCAAGACTAGGATAGGAGTTAACTTTCAGAGGGTAAAAGAAAAGCTCCAAGAGCTCTTTCAGTAAGAGCTGAAGATTTGGTCTTCCTTTTCCAAGTCATGCCTGAAATGGTCTTTTGTGTTGATAGTGTGTCAGTAACACTGTGGTTATCTCATCCTTGGTATTGAGGGTTGGGATAGGTCCTTTCAGCTTTCTGCTTCTTGCACTCATACTCTTCAGTTGTCACCAAGGTGAAAAATGGACGTTGCTTTTGCTGTACTTTAAAATGTGTTCTCAAGCTTTAGATAATTTTTGGTCATCTACTTTCTGCCTTTTTCACAATTTAGTATCTTGTTTAAGAAAAAAGGGAACCCGTGAGTGGGTTGTAAATTTGAGTTAGGAACTATCCACTGTATACCTTCCTGCTAACATTTGCTTGCTAGTCATGCCAAGAAGCAGGCCTTACAGATAAACTGGCATTTGGCTGTAACACAAAATATAATGTATTTTAACAGGCTGGGTTTTTTTCATCTAAGGGCTCAAATGAGACCCAGAGAACTACCTTTTCAGTCTGAGTGCTGAGATTGATGGATCACAGTACAGGTGAATGTGTGGAGACAAACTTGAACTGACTTCCTTCCACAGCCATAAGCATATGAGGCTCAGAAGGCTTCAGCAGGTGCAGGGGTAACTCCCCTGCTCAGGTAGCTCAGCCATGCTGATCCCTGTGCTGTCATGTGTGACTTCTTAACAAGTAATTTTTGGTAAAAAAAGACTGTCTGCTATTGCACACTTGGATTATGTTTGTAACCTTCAAATGCTGCTAGCATCAGCAGAGCTGATGTTTCACTGAGAGGCTGTGGAGTGCTGAAGCACAGGAACTTGCACAAGTAGATTCTGCTACATTTGTCCACTGAATCTCATAGCAAAAATGAAGTTCTGTCAAGAGCTGTGACTAATGCCAGCTTACACACTGTATGGAGATTTCCCCTTCTGCTCTTTAGGCATGCTTAGATGCATACATGTGAGAGCTGCTTTGAATGCCCTCTCCATGGAATCATGGTAAGGTTTGTGTTGGAAGGGGCCCTTCAAGATCATACAGTTGTACCCCCACCCCCAACTATGGTCATTCACTAGACCATGATGCCCAGATCTCTGTCCAGCCTGGCCTGGAACACTTCTAGGGATGGATCCACCACTTCTGTGGACAAACCTGTTCCAGTGTCTCACCACTCTCCTTATAAAAAAGTCACTTCTTTATGCCTGGACTAAATATACCCTCTTTCAGTTTAAAACCATCACCTCCTGTCCCGCCACTGCTGGCCTTGGTAAACAGTCTTTATTCATTTTTCTTATAAGCCCACTTTTTATGTAGATAGGCCACAGTAAGATAATGCTGAAGCCTCATCGTCCCCAGGCTGAACAACAGCAACTTGCCTTATTACTTCTGTTCATTTGTCTTCATTTCTGTTAAATAATTTTAGTTCCTGCAAAGAATAGAATATAGTGCCTTTTTTCTCTGCAATTTCTGAAATGATACAGTATGCCTAAACTTACTTCAATCTGTTTTAAGTTGAACATATGTAAGGAACCATTAAAAAATGCTTTTAGAGGTAAATTCTGAGTAGACTGTATCTTTTGACAAGGTTTTTAGCTGTTTTTTTGCCTGTCTTTTATTTTTTTTTATATTTTTTATTGTAATATAGCCAAATCTCCTCAAGCAATTATTTTAGAATTGCCTGAGAAGATGACTAACTCTGTAGTATTAAATTCACTGTATGGGACATGTATTTCTGGCAGACATCTGTGTGTTGATTAGAGATACTTGGATTGATTGATGTTCATACCACTTCTATTATACAAATGTAATAATTGGATCCATAAATAGTTGCAATAATTTTTCCTTTGAATGATTGTATCCAGTCTGTATGTACATTTTCTAGGAGGAAATAAGTTTAAATGATGCGATGCCAAATAATTCTTGTTTTGTGAGCTTAAATATACAAACTGACTACTCATCATGTTGCTATGGTGATTAGTGAATGGTCTAGTATATATGGTCACCTATAGGCTAACTTTGGACTAACTATAATGTCAATCAATTATTCTGGAAATGTTGCCATCTTTCTGATGAAAAACACTCTGTTCCATTCCAAACCTCTTGAAATGTGAATTGTATGCAGAGGAAGTACAGAACTAAAATAGCCACACTAGAAATGTACTGTGGTATATATTGCTTGTCAAAGTGCACTATTAGCAGTGTGATGTAACATGCTGTCTTAATTCCTTTTTTGAGTATGTTCTAAACCGAGATTTATCTTAAAAGAATTTGAGGGATTCTTTTTTTTCCCCCCAGGATTTGCTGCTTCTTGGAGCTACAGCCATTGAAGACCGCCTGCAAGCAGGTGTTCCAGAAACAATAGCCACACTAATAAAGGCAGAAATTAAGATATGGATTCTGACAGGTGACAAACAGGAAACAGCTCTCAATATAGGTATCCATCATTCTGGTTACTCTGAATTTGTGTGCTATGTAGCAAGTCACATCCAAGATGTGCTGTGTGGGTTTTGAAATAGAATCAGGCCTGCTTCTTATAGAATGGTTCCTCGGTAGCAGGGCATAGCCTTGGGGAAGAGATTTTGTAGTGAAGTCTTCACTATGAGTGTCAGGCTATATTCTTTTTTATTATTATTATTATTATTGTTTTAAGGCAAAAGGGACCCTTCTGCTCTTGGTCAAATGCAGTTGTAATGGAATGAATATATGTAACTGCTTTCTGATGGTAATAGGAGAACTCTACCAGGCTAATGTTTCAAAAATGGTTTCAGAGCTTTTTTATTTTTTTCTTTTCTTACTGACTGCCTTTGAATGGAGTTTGGGATACAATGGGAAATACGATAATGCAAAGCATGTATAGTTTTACAGCATCTTCCAAACCATGTCTGTGAACGTAGGTGGATCATTCAAGCTTCAACAACTGACCCTTACAGCACATATGTTAGTTAAGACTTGGTAAAGGGACATATCCTGATGTAGGCACACCCCATGTCATGCCACACCTCCCAAATGTCCCATCTTTGGCAATAGAATACCATGATGCTCTTGTGTGCTTTTTGATTGTTTTTCTCCCTATCCCTGGTAAGTCTGCCTAGAGAGGGGAAGACAGAGTTGCACTCTTGTGGTTTAACATCTCACCTAAGTAAGTTCAGTTAAAGAGCGTTTTAGTGCTGCTAGGAATAGCCTGAAATGCACCCAGACCTGCCTGTGTACAGTTGTAAATGTAAAAAGCTTAATTGGTCACATTATTCATATAATTAGGGTCAGTATGAGCTCAAAAAGACTGAAGAAATAGCTCCTTTAACACAAGGCAACATATGTTGCTGAGGTTCCACAATTGCATTTAGATTTGCAGATTAGTCTGTTTAGATGTGAAGGTTAAAAGGAACTTTAACAGCATAGGTTGCTTTCTCAAACTCATTCAAGATTCTTTATCAGTTATGTTCTGTAAATGAACATAGATTATTTTTGGGAAATTTTGGGCATTTGCCTTTTTTTTATTTTAGTCTGGTTTGTATTATTTTAAATTTTTTTTCTGTTTTGGTTGACTCAGTGAAATTTCAGAATGCAGTCTGCTTGACTGACTAGAATTTTTGTGTGCTTCTCAAAACCAGATCAAATTTCATGTACCTTTGTATGTTGAAGGTGGTACCAAGAGGTGAAATAACTTGCTGACCTGATATAGGTGTGGTAGAAATATAGTGGATGGTCTAAGGAGACAATTTGTTTAAAGGCTGGTTATCTGGTTTGAATCACAATCTGTAGATTTTCCTTTCTTTGAAAGCAGTAGTTAACTTGAGAAAGGAAACACCATTTTTGACTAATTAAAAAAATGTAGCTACACGTTTTAATGTAAGTACCTGAAAAAAGTTGATATATTAACCAATAGCAGCTACCTTCAACACCAGTAAATGGGGTTATTCTGAAGACTGTGAAGGAGACTCACTTCCAGGTTTCTCTAAATCTGTTGGTTTGTTGTTTCTTTTATTATAGCAACTTGAGAAGAATAACAATCTCACTTAAAACTTTTAAATTATCCCTTAGTTTAAGGTACAGTTTGGTAGTAAAACTCTAACTTAATTTGCTTCACATTCAAGTTGACTTGAAAGAATAAACATTTGGCACCCTTCCAGTTTGTGTGTAACCTAATAAAACTGTAATAAACCTTCTACTTAAAACCTAATCCACGTGTGTACTATATGTTTCAGGTATAAATATGCTGTCTGGGGGGAGTAAAAAGCATTTTCAGTTTCTCATTGTGTTTGGAGATTACGCTTATTGACTCTTGCTTGCCGTAAGGACGTGCATGTGTATTGAGCTCATGTGTAAGAGCATTTCAGCTCTTGGCAGCTCTGTCAAGGAGCTGGAGTACTTTGTTCTTCCAGCTTCCTCTTGATTCTTTGGTTTTCAGAATTTGCATGGCTTTGTCTCTGGATGGTGTTCTTGACTTCTCTGGAGAGTCATGGTTGACCTTCCTGGGGTGGCTGTAAGCCTTTCACTCAGCCATGTGCTAGTCAATAGTTCTGCAAGTGAGGAGAGTGTTCATGATAAGCTTTAATACTGATCAATCATTTTAACTCTACCTCTTGAAAAGGAGGCTTCCAGGTTCAGAAGCATCTTTAAGCATGGCCTGCAAAGAACTATAGAGAGCTTAACTTGCAGCTTCATCCTTCTCTTCAACAGTCTGCAGACTCTGGGTCATCTTTGCCTTTCAGTGAGACAAAAACACTCATGATAGATTTCTATTTGCCACCATCCTGGTGCTTGGGACACTAACAGAACACTAGAACTGCTGTATTTCCAGCCAATCACTTCGCTGGGAAGAGATTTGTTTTCTGGGAATGGGCATAAAGTGTTTACTCAAGTGTGTCCTTCCCTGAACCATGAATCAGTCCCTGAAGTTGAGCTGAATGCTGTTACCTAGGATGTGCATAGATAGCTGCAAGCACTGCCTTACAGTTGTTTGGGTTTGAGTTGGAAGGGACCTTTTGAAGATACAGTCCTTCTGCTCTCTCCCTGACAGGGACATCTTTCATAAATCAGGTTGCCTAAAGCTCCATTCAGCCTGACCTTGAACACTTCCAGGGGTGGAGCATCCATAACTTCTCTGGGCAGCCTGTTCCAGTCTTGCTACCCCTATCATAATAAATGTCTTCCTTATGTCTAGTCTAAACCTACCATCTTCGAGTTTGAAATGACTGGCCCTTGACTAGCCACTACAGGCCTTAGTAAAAAGTCTAAGTCTTTGTTGTAATTCCCTTTTATGTATTGAAAGGTCTCTCCAGAACCGTCTCTTCTTCTGTTTAAACAACCCCAAATCTCATCCTGTTTTCATAGGAGAGCTGTTCCAGCCCTCTGATTGTGGCCTCCTTCTGTACTCACTCTAACAGGTTCACATCTATCTCTGGGCCCCCAGGGCTGGGTAGAGTACTCCAGGTAGAGTCTCATATTCAATTTTTCATCACTTAGTTACTTCTCAGTAGGGCTGCTTTCAGTCTGTTCATACCTCAGTCTTTCCTGATAGATATTTATGAGTGTTGCAGTACAGGTGCAGGACCTTGCACTTGGCCCTGTGGAATTTGACTAGGTTCTCACAGACCTATTCCTCAAGTGGATCAAAGTCCCTCTGGGTGGCATCACTTCTCTCCAGTGTTATTTAGGTCCACTCTTCAGCTTCATGTTTTCTCTAGACTTGATGAGGTGTAGTTGGTCCCTCTTTCCCTGGTGAAGATACTGAAGGACCAGTCTCGGGGCTGGCCTGAGGGATGCTACTCATCCCTGGTTTTCCTTTGAGTGTCGAGCCATTGACTGTCACTCTTTGGATGCAGGCATCCAGCCGATTCCTTACCCATCTAACAGTACATCCATCAGACCCCTAGCTTTCCAGTTTGGACATAAGAACACTTCTTGGTGAACTGTGCTTTATTTCAGTTCAGGAGACAAGCCATGCCAGCACACTTGCCTGTATCCCTATGCAAAGTTTGAACAGGGCGTTTGTGCCCTCTCTGAACACAGAGGGTAATCATCCTTCCCTCAGATGCTGGATTCTGTATGCCTGCAGTATGGATGTGCCTGTGGGCTATGATCTTGAACTCTGGTTCAAGCAGTCTTTCTCCCAGGACACTTAAAGGAAAATAAGTCCCAGAAGTACCTAATTCATCTGCTTCATGGACTTTTAGTCAGACTTTTAAACTAAAGAGCTAGATATCAACTTACAGGTGTGGGTTGACATTTTATACCTCGCTTTGAACCAGCAGTTGATCTTATTTTACTCAGAAGCATTGACAAAAATACTTATCTTAGAGTGCATTTTTGCTTGCCATGCTAGTGTTGCCAGTAATAACTATTACAAAACTATTATAAAGCTTTAAAGTATTACTAGAAATGTCTAAAGTTACTACTTGTACTCCTACAGTTGCCAGCTACTTTGCTTTATAGTAGGGCTAGATTTTAACATCATCTTAGTCCTGAAATTTAACATAATGTTTAGATCTCCTATAAACCCTTGTTAGGCTTGACTTACATTCTCCTATTCCAGTCTTGATCTTTCTGTTTAATGTGATGGCAAGATGCAAAATAGCTTCAGTTGCAGGGTAAGTTCTTCTGTGTCCATAATTTCCAAGATGCACAGCAGAGCAACTGTTATCCACAAGAATATTTTTTCTTCCAGCTGGACTTCTAGAATGGCAGCTTGCTCATTTTGGAAGAGGTAAAATGAAGCAGTGAGCAGTGGTTTAGAAATTACAGCTCACTATTGCAGCTGCTGTTCTAATCAAATGCTACTAGAAAATCCTTTTGAATTAGTTATGCTGAATTTGTAACAGCCTACTGCACAGGACTGTTGTTTTAGCCTAGAGAAAGAATAAACCTGTTATGGAGGGAAGTACTTAAGTTCATAATATTCTCTTTTTCTCAATAAAAATAAGGAAGGTTTTTTTTAGCCTGGAACTAACATTTTTAAAAATGGCAAACTGACTTGAGAAAAAAGTCAGTGTTTTGTCTGTAACTGTTGGAGGCTTGCTGCTCAGTTCTATACTACCACCTAAGATTTGATCACAGGCAGAATCAGAGGCTGTCTGCAAAGCTTTCATGTTGTAGGCTGCACGTCATTAGAACATATTTCATCCTTTTCCCAACAGGTGTGAGTTCAGTGTCATTCTGTATTGTTGTCTGAAGCAGAAATTAAACTTAGGCTCATTAGCATGTATTTGCAAGGTTGCATTTGATATTCATAGCCCACACAGCTGTGAAAATGGAGGAGAAACTGAACTTCTGCAGGTAATCAGACCTGCTGCCTGAGAGTGCCTGGCTATGATACAAGCATGACTTCCACAAAGGAAGAAGAGGGATTTACTTTCTTGACGCATGCAGACATTTTAACCCTGGATTATACCTACAAAACTAGCCCAATTATAAAAACTCTGTAGCCTGAGGAAATTATTTGCATTACAATTGATGACCCAGTATGGCCTTTCTAAGGAAGCAAGAATCCCACAGATGATTTCATGCCTCAATTGTCCTCTTGCTGATGTAAGATATGAAAAGAGGCACTTCATCTTTTTACAGTGACTGCAGTGTTCAGCTTTTTAATCTGTCAGCCTTGCAGTGGTTCTTCACTGGGACATTACTCTTATACTGCAATACCCTCCAGTCTCCATTTCAGAAAAGTAAGAGACTTCCCAAGACCCCATTTTATTTGATAGCAATTTCTTAAACTGCTGTAATTAATTTCTCTAAAAAAAAGTAGAAATAAATAAGAATTGTATTGTATTTCCTTTTCCCATGTAATTCAGATGAGTAATAAAAGGTACTTCAAATAAGTTAATTCTCTGTTATTTTATGAAGCTGGCATCACTATGCCAATCCCAAGTGAACTTGCATGAACTTTTAGGATAATGTAGTGAGGTCAGTCTGATGCATTTGTCTCTTGCTGTTAATAGGAGCATAATTAACCTGTTTATTCTGCAAATGATGAAACTTTTATAGAAATAAGAGATTTTTTTTCTGTCTTAAGAGATTTTGTTTTGAATTTTGGTGTCCTAGGAAACGTACAGAATTGCCTTCTGGGTGCTCTCATTCTTTCATGTCCCAGTCCCACACTAAGAATAATCTAGTCCAATTATCTTGTGTCCATAGGAGTTGGTAGGGGCTCTGAGTGTCATTGATCTGTACTTCTTGATGAAGCTCAGAACCTTCCACACTGAACACTCAGGAGTAAAAAATGCTCATGTAAGCTTTGTGTGGGCTAAGGGAACTGAGTAGCATTGACTGAAAACATGTGTGCACTTCCAGTGATCTGGCATAGATGCAACTGTGCCTTCAGATCTGTTCCTGTCATGTGCTGAAGGCAAACCTGCCTTCCTGTAGACTTTAAAAAAAAAAAAAAATTGATGCAGGGCTATAGGCTGTATTTACTGCTTGCAGTTCACACAGTGTTTTCTTTAATTAAAGCACTGCAAGTGATGTATTTGAAAATGCTATCAGAGTGCAGCCTGTGTCTCAAATAAATCTGTCATATTGGAGTGTGTCCTATACACCAATGTTTCCAGCAGTCTGCCTGATAGGAGTAATTGCTCAAAAAATAGTCATTTGACCTATTGGTGCTTATTTTAAGGTTAAGCTTGAACCTTAGATAGTCCTCCAAAAAGTAAGTCCTTGTGTTTTATTGTCTTTTTTTTCCCTCTTGCAGGGTACTCTTGCAGACTCATTTCACAGAGTATGTCTCTCATCCTGGTCAATGAAGATTCACTAGATGTAAGTAAGCAAATTCTGATGCAATTCTTGACGGAAGGAGGTGTTGCTAGCAAGATGGAAAGTTGTCAAGCTTTCACATTGAATTTCTCTTGCTTACCCTTAGAGGTAGCAGGATAAGGATGTTCATGCTGAAACACAGGTGTATTGTGTAAAGTGTACTCCAGAGGTCTGCAGTCACAAACTCTACAAATCAAACCGAGGTCTCTGAATGAGCAACTTCTTAGGTGTGTGGGTTTGATTCTGCTGCAAACTGGAAAAATCTGCAGCATGCCATCAGGAATATAGTTAAGTTTTAAGGTATAGGTATAGGAATAACGTTTGAAGAAAACCTGCTTTTTGTTTCTTTGCATCTTCAGTATTGACAGCTCTAGCCACACCTGCATTGTGAGTTTGTCTATGTACAGTAGCTTTTGAGACCTATAATCAAAAGTGTTCTGCCATGGTTGCATGTTCCTCATAAGTATGCCAAAATTAAATAGAAAAATCATATATTTGTACAGTGAATCTTCCCAGGAGATATCTTTCCATTTTGTGTGCTTCAGTGTACATATCAGTATTAAATATCACTTCAATATCTGATTTCTATTAGGGTTATTTGTAGGACAGATGAAAGTACCTTTAATAGGCAACATCTGACATTTGCATTTAGAATTGGCAGCTTGACTGGATGGGAGATGCAAAGCCTGTGTCTTGGAGTACCAGAGGAGTTACTGGATGTCTGCAGATGTGGTTGAAGAGGGTAATACTGCTGTGGCAAAAGTATCACCGGCTGTTATTTTCCAGTTGCCTAGATGTGATTCCAATAACTTTGTGTGTAGAAAATCTTTGCTTACAGAATCCAGCTATAAATGGCATTGGAAATTTGTCAGTAAACATAAAAACTAGTGGGAGCTTTCAGAACATGACCTTACACCCCCAGCGTGTTTGCCAATGACAGCAAGGCTGTGGGGTGCAGTCGGCACACTGGAGGGAAGGGATGCAGTCCAGAGGGATTTGGACAGGCTTGAGAGGTGGGCCTGTGTGAGCTTCATGAAGTTCAACAAGGTCAAGTGCAAGGTGGTGAATGTGGGTTGGGGCAGTCTCAGGCACAAGTCCAGGCTGGAAGGAGAATGGATTGAGAGCAGCCCTGAGGGAAAAGACTTGGGGCTGTTTGGACAAAAAGCTCCATATGACCCAGCAATGTGCACTCACAGCCTAGGAAGCCAAAGGCATCCTGGGCTGCATCCAAAGAATCACAGCCAGCAGGTCGAGGGAGATGGTTCTCTCCCTCTACTCTGCTCTTTTGAGACTTGACCTGGAGTGCTGTGTTCAGCTCTGGGGCTTCCAACACAAGAAACACGTGGACCTCTTGGAATGAGTCCAGAGGAGGGGCCACTAAGTTGACCAGAGGATTGGAGCGCCTCTGCTAAGAGGACAGGCTGAGAGATTTGGGGCTGTTCAACCTGGAGAAGAGTTTGGAGAGACCTTTATGGCACCTTGCAGTATCCAAAGGAGATCTACAAGGGAGCTGGAGAGGGACTCTTTACAGGGGCATGTAGTGATTGGACAAGGGGGAATGGCCTTAAGGTGGAAGAGTGCAGATTTAGATTAGATGTTAGGAAGGAATTCTTTACTGTGAGGATGGTGAGACACTGGAACAAGTTACCCAGAGAGACAGTGGACTCCCTATCCCTGGAGGTGTTCGAGACTAGGCTGGATGGGGCTTTGAGCAACCTGGTGAAGTGGAAGGTGTCAACCTGGTGAAGTGGAAGGTATCCTTGCCCATGACAGGGGAGGTTGAAGTCAGAGTATCTTTAAGGTCCATTTCAACACTAACTTTTCCATGATTCTATGAAAACAAAACAAACAAACAAAAAAAAGGAAATGGAGAACAATGGCATGTCAGATGAGAAAAGAAACCCATTATTGATATATATAGTTGCTGGCCTTTGAAGAAAATGTTATCATATGATACATCATGAATTTGAAGATCAATGATAGTTTAGCTCAGATAACCTATATTTTTCTAAAACATGAGTACAAACTTATGGAGCTTCTGAACTGGTACATCAGAAATGCTTTGTATTACTCTTTCTTTCCACCTAAAGTAAATCTATGGGTTATCTCCAAAGTACTTTTATTGCCATTTTAAATGTAGAATTGGATTTTATATACATTTGTATATAGAACTTAGGTTTTGTAAATAATTGCCTCTATTTATTTTGTTCTAACATGTCTTTAGGTACTTATTGCAAATTTTTCAGTATGAGATCTCCATAGTAATATTTATTTTGTGCTGCACCTCCAACAAAAATTTTTACTTCTGTTCAAGTGAGCCTAAAATCAAAGGTTCTCACACTGAAATTCTGTAGCATTATATTTAATATATTCCACCTTTGAAATCTATTAATACTAAAAATGAGTTTTTACAAGATCCAAGTTGAGCTTAGAGCTTTTAAAAATTGATACACTTACCCCTTTGTGCAGTCCCTGTGTGATTTTTCCCTCCCACTTCTGCTCCTTGGCATGCAGCAGCAGGTGAGATGTGATCGAACAACTGTCTTTGCTTGGTTTTGAGAGATAATTTTTTTTTTAAATCATGCAGTTCAGAGGAAAAATCAATCATTACTGTTCTCTTCAGGTAGCTCCTGGGAATAGAAAAGACTAATCCCTAGCTTGATTCAGCTGAATTCTCGAAACTTAGCATAATAATCTGCAAATGTCTATCCCTTACAGACTTTACCACATGCATACATATACTCACTTGTTTTTTCTTTTCCTAATAAAGCTTTTTGAAATGAGAATATTTTGAGCATGACATTTACTTTGAGTGTAATTCTTGGACTCAGTTTCTGTTTAATTAAATTGGAAAGTCATAAAGCCTTAATGTGCAGCTCTTAACCTGGAAAAATTTCTTTCACTGGCATTTTGTAGAATTTTGAGTTGTGAGAGCAGTGAGAAGGGTACCTGAAGAAGGGAAATTGAATGACCAGAGAGCCCCTGACTGGAAAACATTTAATGAGAGAGGCGATATTATAGCCAAGGAATGTTGTGTGTGTTCCTCCCCATAAATCCCATAGAAAGGAGAGTTGGGAACTGTATCAGTTGCTTATCACATGGGATTGTATTTAACAGTAGTGGAAGGACAACATGGGAGGGACTCTGTGGAAGCTGTGGGTAGTATTTTGCTGTAAAGTAATCCTGTTGATGTAAAAGGAGCTACACTGTGAGTGTGTTCCTCAGAGCTCGTGTGCCAGGAGTGACAGTCCTGGGTTATACACAGATGTGTGAGTAACAGCAAATGGATACTCCTGTGTAAGAATGCTCAATGCTGGCGTCTCTTTGTAAGGTATGACTAAAATTGTCAGCAGAAGCTGGCCTTCCTTGCTTTTCCACTTGTTCAGGTGTAACTTTTGCATGCTTCACTGTTGGGAAGTACCTGTTAGTGCCACCATGGTATTTTGTAGTGTTCTTGAGAAACAAGCATAGTTTCACAGTGTAACTTGTCATCTGTAGTCAGTATCTAGGCTTCCCAAATAGTCTTAGTATCTGCAGGGAAGCTTTTACATGCAGCAATGTTTTATATTCCAGCAGTGAAGAATGAGGACCTAGAAAACGCCGTTATTTTGTTGTTAGTTTATTTTAGCTATTCTTTGGGGTAGCATTACTGTGAAGTTTCTGTAAGGAAGACGTATTAATCTGGAGAATATTGGATTTACCCAATGACTTTCATGATCTTCATTCTTAATTGGCACATTTCCTTCCCACACTTCGTTAGAGTTAAAAATATAAGGAGATCTTTGACAGGCATTATTATTCATTTTATTTAAATACTGATACATATGTAGATCTGGGAATTATGGATCTCTTAAGAAGTAAAGCACTGACCTGGCCATTGGACTTACCTGTATGCTAGAAATAGCAGGTTTTGTTGGGTTATTGTCAAAATTTTTTCTAATAACCGCTGAGAGCTCAGACTGTGTAACGGAGAAGGACATGAGCAGAAGGCCATTAAAAATTTGTTTTTCAGCATGTTTGTCTTTGAGCAAAAAGCATTGTTCCGGTAGAGTCCTCTGTACTAGACTTCCCAGAAAGATTTACATAGCATTGTGGCTTGCACAGAAAGGTGTTACCTTCACCTACAGAATTTCTTCAGCATATGCACCATGTGTGTTTTTTTTGTAAATCTGTGTTTCAAACTCTCGAGCACAATTACAGGAGACAATGCCCGTGAAGCTCTGAAAAACTTAGAAGGTTCTCAGGATCTTCTGAGATCCTGATTCTCCTGCAGAAGGGATGCCTATGCCATGCCAGTGATGTCATGCTGATTACTCCCAAAGAATGGGCTGAAAGGTGCTGTCAGCTTTTCAGACTAAACCAAAAGTTACCTAAGACTCAAAATGTTCCAAAGCATTGCTATCATGTGTGCTTCAGCTGTACTAAAAGATAATGAGGTATGCAGGTGCTGCTGGGAAGACAAGAACAAGCCTGGTACTGCTAATACCATGTAAGTGCTTTGAAGGTACATCTTGTGTGTTGCGCTAGAGAGGAGGCTGTGGCTTTTATCTCCCCTGCTATCATCTGCCCACATGCATTCAGACTAAGTTAATATTCTGGAAAACTGGTCAATGTGAGCAAGCTCAGTTTGAGCCAAGGATTGGCTCCCCTTCACAGGGGCATCTGCAACAGTTCTCTAATGCCTTGTGGCTAGTAAGTTACTCCAGTTACCACTCAGCCTGGAATTGTAATCAGCACTTCTACCACTGGGGATTTCCAAAGGAAGCTAATTAGGAAAACTAGGGAAAGAATACACATTCTATTGTACAAAGCTTTTACTATTGCTTAAATTTCTGTTTTCATAATCTAGAAATATACATCAAGCTAATAAGTAGTTACATAAGGAACAGAGTCTAGTAATCAGATAAGTATTGAAAAATTTTAGGTAGAAGGGATTTAGTGTTTTTTTGTTTGTTTTTGAGGAACAAATAGGATCTTTCATAACTCCAGGTATTTGCTAATCTGCATAGAAAGTTAATTGTATGGATGTGGAAAACATACAGTTCTTAGTGTGAAAAGCTGCTTTGATTTGAGTGTAGTGTGTAGAATTATAAATGAAAGAATATAGGTGTTACCTAGACCTGTAGGTTTAAGTACACACAGGACTGTGTAACTTAAGTATTAGATTACCACTTTTTCAGGAAGTAATACTAATAGGTTTGAGCTGTGAGGGGTGAATGAGTTAGGCTGGTATTTTTGTTTCATCCTGCTTTTCACTTTCCAGAATTCATTAATGACTGTTCTCCCTTATCTGTAGCTCTGTTTTTTCTGTTAGTGTTTTCTGGCACTGTGATAGTTGGTTTGGATGAAGTGGGGGTACGTGGACCTGAAGGAATGCAAGGGCCCTTAGGAGTGCTAAGAAAATGTTACTGAATAACTCTTCTTTCTATAAGTGGAAACTGCGCGGTGGGAAGGCTAGGGAACGCTCTTAAGAAACTCAAACACACTGTTTTCAAAGTAACTTTTCCATTCATATTTAAAGTTGTAGTAGTGGTCATTTCTGACAAGAGCCAATTTTAGGCAGCTGGTATTTTGCAGATGTGGGCTGATGCCTTGTCCGTGCTATAGGACAGAATAGATCATATTACATAAAAATAGAAAGGAAGAATGTGTCCCCTGAATTCCATCTAAAAATTGCTGTCTCGTTTGTAAAAGTTCTCATATGTTAGAGGAAAATGACTGCAAACAAACACCATTTCTCTC